GGGGGGGTAAGCTCCGTGCTAGGACGCAGAGGGGCATGAGAGATGTCTGGGTACCGACCGCACCCCAACACCTTTTTATCCTGAGAGTCAGCTTCAGTGCTCTGGATTACGGAAGCTCAGCGAGTCAATCTTTAGAAGTTTATAAGATTTAGGTGTTGGAGTAGAGCAATAGGTAGCACTTGTCTTATCATTTCAAAGCTTGAAGAAATCTTCCATGGTAAGAAATCTCAGCAGAATGATAAGACAATGCGAGGCGTCAGCGCGTTGGGAGGGCGGGAAGATGGTATCTCTCACTGTGACTCCAGCAGGGCTCCCCAGAACACTTACAGGTTAACCGCCTTCAACATCTGGATCTCCAGCCTTTCCTAATAGGTGATGATGCTCAGAGAAGAGGGAAAATGGTGAGTTTTGGGCTCATTGGAAATTGGCAAGTATAGAAAAGGAAATTTCGCTTGGTAATCTTTAAGCTCCTAAGATTGCAATTGTTATAAAGAGACGGCCAAATGCTAATAACTGAGCGATGTGTCTTTGGGATTGACTGAGCGTGACTCTCCGTGAAGAAGAAAAGGCTTTTCTCCCCCTTCACAACCTCACCTGTCAATCAGGCACACAACACACTGTACTTTGTTCTGAACAGCTTGTTGCCACTTCTGAGGTTATGTTTGAGGAATGATTTAAGAGAACAAGAAAAGGCAGGTTACCAAACAGAGTGTGTAGGATGATCTGAACAACCACATCTGAAGCGTGGCCGATGACCGACCGTGAGAAGAGAAGGAAGGAAGTGTGGGAAGGAGAAATCACAGAGGGGAGGACAGTGGAAAAGCAAGGACAAAATGAAGCCCAGTAAGCATACGGCGTGCCAAAATGTTATCTGAAGACCAGGACTCAGTTGTGGGCATTTTGATAGTCTCTCCTCTTACTGCTTTGTTTATCTGTATTTTTTATGCTTTCTGTAGTAAACCTCTATTCATTTATGAGCAAGATGAAGCATGATGTTTTAAGGGCAGAATATATCTCCATGTACATCCCCTGCATAGTAAGTGACTGTGCTCCAGGAGTTTCATTCAAGGCTGATGGTCCTGGACCCTGGATATCCGGAGATGTGCTCAAAACCTACAGAATGGAGTTTGACAAATAGTGTAGGCCAGCAGGCTTTAGAAAAAAAAATCAAACAAAAATAATAGAAAATTATTACCCTGAAAGCAGTGTGGTTTTCTTTTTAAAAGACAGATTCTATAAATCGATTGTGACTTTTGTCCCTAGGCTACTTGGCTTCAGAGAATTCAGGACAGGTTTTTATTCATTTGCGTTTAGTTGGTGGGCATGTGTATGTGTCTAACTCCAAATTTAAATAGCTGGAATTCATTTTCCTATATTGCTTCCAGAATAAGTCCCTTAGGTTATTATCTTTAAATGACATTCCACATCTTTGTCCCAGGTGATTTCAATATAGAATAACATTTGGAAATACATTGCATCTCCATTAGATAAGGTGGTAGCTACAGTCGTCCCTCAGTAACCCTGGGGATTTCAGGCCCTTCTTATGGATACAAAAATTCACAAATGCTCAGGAACCCTAGAAAAATGACATAGACTTTAATATATACATAATAACTCCAGCACAGCATGCAGTGCACATGGAATCATTTCTAGATCACTCATAATATACAATTCTGTTCTAATGCTCTGTGCAATGAAAGTTGCTGTATTATATTATTTGGGAACTTTTGATGAGGACAAAAAGTCTGGACATATTTGATACAAATGCACTCTTCCCTCACTGCCCAAATATTTTCTACCTGCCGTTGGTTGAATCCTCAAATAAAGGAACCTGCTGATATGAAAAATTATTTTACTTTGTAAAAGGTACTTAAACATGGATGCATTTGCAAGAGACCAACATTTAGTTGTGCTGTGTTCTAGTTAAAATACTTTGAATAAACAAACAGTAATGAAAATTGAGAAGTCATATGCTGAAGAACTTTTTTTCTCCTCATGGATCAGTGATACCTTCTGTAAGTATCTTTTAATAGCAGGTGACACATAAAGATAAATTCTTATCTCTGTCGCTGAAGTGGTACAGCTCACTGCTGTGCAGCAGAGGGGAGGTCTAAGTAAGCTAGAGGAAAGAGCCGTGTATAAGATAAAAGTCACGAAGACCAGGAATCTCTGATGCTTTCATTTCTTTTACAGAAGTTTGTAAACAAGAGCAAACACGGGAATGGAAGAGACTTGGGGCTATCAGGAAAACTCAGTGTGGCCAGAGACAGGAGAGCTCTGCCACAAAACAGAGAGGGTGCCCACTCTCCTGGAGGAAGCCTGTTCTCTTAAGGCAGAACAAACACATCTTTGCGTGTTGTGAGGGGTCGCTGTGCTCAAATGCGTGCCTGGTATAAGGCAGAACTGTTGAGCTGGAGTTCAAGGTTTTAGTTTTTCTTGGTGCGGAACCTTTCTTCTAAAAGTAGATGGCAGTTAGAGGTGTTGTCTGGGTTTCCTGCCTGATCGTAGTGAACATACAGCCATGCTGAGCAGTGTTAGCACCCCAAAGCTCTAGTCTGAGGCTGGGTTGGCTCTGCCCCTGTAAATATACTCATACATCTACAAAACATACTGTGTGTTCATGTGCATGTGTGTGTACTATTGTCTGTGTGTGTATGTGTTATAGCCTTATTTGTGTCTCCTCCATTCAGTCTGTGAATAGAAAGTTTAAATTTCAGTGTGAAGTTCTTGAGACAGGGCCTTTAAAGAGCTAATTGAAGTTAAAGATGGTCACTAGGACAAGGCTGCAGTCCAACTGGACTGAAATTTTTAAATAAGAAGAAAGGCATAGGGAAACGGCCTCATAAGGATTTTGAAAAGGTACCATCTATAAGGTCTTTTCTTAGAACAAAGCGCATGCTGACACCTTGACCTTGGAAGTTCAGCATCCAGACCTGGGAGACAATGAGTTTCTGTTGTTAGATGCTGCCCATGCTGTGGCCTGTTATCATGGCAGCCCTACTGATTCATAGAAAGCAAAGCATCCTCATCGCGCTACCCGGTGCCATAGTCTAGTGTGGACAGCAGGTGGCAGTGGTGTGCTGCGACTTTGTGCAGGCGGTCCATTTGCCAGGCTGTGGCTCTGGTTTAGACCACAGGGTCAAGCAGAGAGAAGCCCAGGTTCAGGGCTTTCCCACTGGAAAGAGATGTTGCATTAATGTGTCTGTCATTAGGCTAGCGATGTAGTTCAGTAGGTACAGTGCTCGCCTAGCATCAAGGAGACCCCGAGCTCAACTCATAGCAGTGCATAAACATGGTATGGTGGCAAACTTGCAATCCAGCGCTTGGGAGGAGGAGTCAGGTAGAGGCTTAAAGTCAACCTTGGCTACATAGTGGGGGTGCAGCAAGCCTGGAATGTTAACTCTCAATCTCTCTCTCTCCCTCCCCCCCTCCCCCCCCACTCCTCTGTGGTGCAGTATACCATCCTCTACGTCTTATCTTTTCATTCAGTATAGTTTATGTCCTTGCTTCTGCCTGGTTCATGGTTCCTTGGAAGTCGATGCTTCTTCCCTCTGACTTTGGCTGGGTACATTCGTGTCTGGGAGCACCGATCACAGAGATGTACAACTTCACCCTCCTGCTTACTTTATTCACCCAGAAGTCAAAAGCCTGTCTTTATTGGTACTGTGTTTTCTCACCAAGTTACAGAACCTAGGCTGTACTCTTAGGGACGGAGACTTCACTAATTTGGTAAGCAGGTAGCTTCAAGAAGATATGATACTAGCCCCAGTGTTGCCCAGACATCAAAACTCTCTCAAATTCTTCAAGGTTTGCTTTCAGAGGACGCTTTTTCTTTTTCATAAAAATTAAAGGTCAAAATAATTTCCTTGATAATTTTCCAAAGTTGGACTACTCTCAGGGACATCAGTGTATAAACATGCATTCTGAATCTTCAGTGTCAAATTTCTTTGTTTTTGTCTTGGGAAGTGAGCATGAGCATTTTAGGAGTCTCTTTTGCAAAGTGTGATTCTGGAAGGATGCTGATTCCATGACCTCTTTGGGCCGTACATTTACCAATCTACATATCTGTTATCTGCTGCAGTCTCTGAATAAGGTGACCGAGCATATGATAGGTGCTTACTGGATATCCTCGTTTACACCTCCAACAACCTGTCCACCCTCAGTGTGTTGTGTCTTCTCTCCTTTCCTTAAGAGGCATTTCTATGTACTCATGCATGCATAGACATCAAGGAATCCATCAGACCCCTCCTTTCCCCTTCCTTACCGCACATCCAGCCACATACGGCCCCACTACTCAAAATGTTTTAGCATGGGCCATATCATAATATATCAATCACATCATATTATATCATGCCATTTCTTTGCACACCATGCCAGACCATGACATATCAGATCATGTTGTATCATCAGGTATCTATAATATTAGATTGGGCCATATCATTTTGTATCTTAATGTGCCACGCCAAGACAGTGCCTTATCAGACCACGTCAGAGCATTTTATGTCATGCCATCTCAGATCATGGCATACATATCATTGTCGTAGCAATTGATTTCCATTAGGAATTCGATTGTTGAGAGAGTTCTAAGAACTATTACAAATTATTGATTGTTGAGATTTGTAGTCCTCGATGAAACAGATTAGTTAGCAATACACAGTAACTGAACTGTAACGAAGGAAAATATCCAAGCTAACTGCATTTAGAGTTCTCTTCTGTCTCTAATCTCCCATCTGTATTCTCTACTAGAATTGTTCTGAGAACAGATTTTTGAAATATCCTTTCAATGAAAGGGGAAAAGCATGTTTTCAAAATGAGAGCTTCTCTGTTTCTTTAATATGCTGACTCTTTCGTGAAGAGTAGCTTAGCATGACAGGCACCAAAGGCTTATTTCCTGCTCCGCTGGGGTTGTGAGGGGTATTGTCTCAGAGCAGGAAGGCTGGGCAGGAAGCACTAAGGAGGCTTTGAACTTGAAAGACACAGAGTGGGGCTTTAATACTTACAGCTGTCCTCTTCTTCAGTGATGCATTTCACGACGTAACAGGCGTAGATGAAGCCCGCCAGCTGAAACAAAAGGGACGCGCTTTAGACATCAGACAAAGGTCAGAGATTCGACCTCCCTGGGGGAGCAGCATTTCAAACACAGGCAGTTGGGTTCACATTTAGGCTTCCAACATGGTTCCTCACTGGATCTTGACTCTATTGTGGATGTTTGACTCCAGCTGTATCCACATGCCTAGATGGATATATTGCTTTATTTTTCTCTGACATTTACGTGTGTGATTTGCTAATTGCTAGGTAAACATGGAACAATTATTTCAGGAGCAAAGACAGGAAGAAAACGATGGTCATTCATGAATGGACCCAACACTTACATTTATAGCAGACTTTTCATGAAGTCAGGACCTAGGTTTTTAAAACCAAATTCTTCTTGACTATAGAAATATACTGTGGGTCCAGGCAGTGGAAGCGCATGCCTTTAATCCCAGCACTCGGGAGGCAGAGACAGGTGGATCTCTCTGAGTCTGAGGCCAGCCTGGTCTATAAGAGCTAGTTCCAGGACAGTCAGGGCTGTTGCACAGAGAAACCCTGTCTCGAAAAGCCAAAATAAATAATAAATAAATTAATTAATAAATAAATAAAAGCAGGCTGTGAAGAAAAGACTCCAAGGAGTTTCCATTGTGTGTTGCTTGGGTGCCTTGCAAGTAAGAGAAACTCTTCCTGAAGCATGGAGCAGGAACCAAGCCATCCTGGCCATCCTTGTGACGACACACGTTACAGAGATGCAAATGAGATAGGTACCTGTGAGAAGGAGGATTGCCAGAATGTTCTGAGCCCGGGCTTGCACGGGTCACACCAGCTTTCCTGAAAAGTCTCACAAAACGATCCCCATGGTCACCAGAGTCCTTGCTCACTGAGATGTGAACCTCTAAATGTGAACTTCAGTGAAGTCGTTTGGCATCTAAGCCTCAAGATTGAAAGGCTCTGTGCCCTTTCATATCTGCCATATTGAACTAAATTCTTAGCTCCGATAGGAGGACATGAGATAATTTACTGATAAGTGCCTTTTAGCAGAAGCAATCCAAGAGTGTTGAATTTTATGTTTTGTTATTATGCAAAACAGGGATTTTCACTATGAGATTTTTTTCACACAAATTAATCCTCATATCCTGCTCTTTTATACATTTCCAATGCACTTCATTATCACTTTTCATTTGTCTATTTCCCTTTCTCCCTACAGTATCCCTTATGATTTATATATACATATGTATGTCTATATATTTATATAATTATACATGTAATTTTATATTCTGTATGTAAATAAGAGACAATATGAGATATTTTGTTTTCCCCCCTTTTTCCTTTTTATAATAGACCTCTTCCCTCTGCCCTCACTATGCCTTTTCTACTTTTGTGTCTTAAGTATGTTTATACTTGTTCATATAAATATTCATTTAAATCTAGATTTTGCATGATAGGAGTCATGCTATATTTATCTTTCTCAGTATCTTTTAAGAAAATCAACATGTTTATCTTCAAGTTCACCTACTTTCTTGCAAATGGCATGATTTCATCCTTCTTTATTGCTGAGTAAAATTGTGTTGTGTATATGTATAATATTTTCTCAATCATTCGTTTATGGATGGACATCTGGGCTGATCCCTTATCTTGCCTCTTGTGAGTAATGTAGCAATCAACATGGATGTGGATGTACCATAAAAGTATCTTCTCAGAATGGTGATCATGGTGACAGTTCAGCCAGGCTTTGGTCTAAGTGAGTGCTGACCCCTGTGAATGAAAACCTCTGAGAGGAAGTTGCACCTAGCTGTGAATGAAACCTCCTGAAAGTATTCAGTGTCTGCAGAGACTGATTGGCTGATTAGAATTTCAGTGTTGTGGAGAGATTGGGATGTTGCAGGTCCAGAAGCTAATTACCTTATAGGGGACTAAGTTCTGGCCCTGCAGAATAGCCATTCCCCTCCCCCTCCATCAGAACTAACATCTTGTGTCAACAGGTAATCCTCAGAATCTATTGGCTTAGCAGACAACTATCTTCTACCAGTGCAAAACCTAAAGATGCTATTGAATAACATCTTGAGCCTAAAGGAAAATTTCCCCTATTTCGGTAGACCTACCTCTCTGATGTACCCACTAATGGGTTTTAAACTTGCCTTGAGTTACGTCGTTCTCCGTTCTATAAAACAGTAAGCCTTTTAAAAACTGCTTAGATACAGCAACACGGAATGCAGGGTATCCTAAATCTGTGTTTCTAGGTCGTAGTCACTCAAAATGGCTCCAAAATAAACTCTTAATCCCTTTCAGATGGGGGCTGTAGTTTTTCTGTTGACAGTTATGGCGCTGCAACATGGGACTGAGATAATGGCTCACTTTTCATCGGATGAATCACCTCAATGAAAACCAATGTCTGCATAGACCCCTTGAGTCCAGGACAGGAGTCATGTCCTCAGTGAATTGTTGCTGAGTTCTTCCTGGGGCTCCAGACTCCTTTAGTTTGGTCACTGGTCCATTTTGTTTGTTCTGGGCTGGCTAAGAAGGACCCGACTTTGATAGATAGTCTTTTCATATGCTTTCAAAGTACTTTGTTTATGGTATCTGATTTGTTTCTTTGCTTTGAAAGTATTTTGGCCTGGGCAGTTTTGTTTCGCTTATTTGGTCGCTTTCAGACATTCTGGTCTGTATTTTGTATGCTTTTGAAATTTTGAAGCATTTTTTTTTGTTTTGTTTTGTTTTTCAGTGTCTTTGAAATGTATTGATTAATTATCGTTTGGCCTTTGTCTCCTGACATTACTCCTCAAATTCAGCATTTTGAGTTTTTCTGCTGTTTATTCTGTGAACTTGCCAAGCCTCTAGCTTAGGACATTTGTGAGAAGCAGATGATGAAGATGCTGAGAAGAGGAAACACCTGTTCTTTCCCACCCCAAAATGTGGCACTGTCGAGGGGAACACCCCATGACAGGCACAGGCCTCAAAGGGAAACCCAATAAATGTACTCTGATCCTGTGTTAGAAGGAACTCTATTGGCTTTGCTTGGGACACTTATGAGGGATTGGCCGCTCAAATTTTCAAGCTCCACACATTACATAAATATCTAAGATAACCCCAAGACCCAGTGAGAGAAGAAGGTCTCATGGAAAAAGTTGAGAGAGTTGATCCCAAAAGCAGCACATTAAACTGACCCAAAGCACACATTCCATGGTTAGTGTGGACATGAAACTTTTCAGGAGCAAAGGAAAACGTGTGTGTGTGTGTGTGTGTGTGTGTGTGTATGCATATATATTGAGTACACATTTTCAAAAAGGGAGAAAATGCTTAGAGATGGTCATCTTCAGGTTTCTAACTGGCTTTATGTATGATAATCATTAACTTGCAAGTATTTGGGGAAAGGGTGAGATGCAGAGACCTGAATATTCTCTAACCCCAAACTGGTTTATCTTGTGCCTGTAACAATGTCCTAGGCAATGAAGTTATTCATTCATTTCTTTTTCTTGAAAAAGGTAAATCACAAACAGGTAGCCTGCTTTAATTAAAATGTAAACTATACATTAACAAACAGAAAAACCTGAACAAATTCTAATGTATTAAATATATGAAATAACATAAGGCTCATTAAAAAGCTTATTTTAGTTAAACAAATTGTAGTTATATTACTTTCCCCTTCCTCTTCTCCACTCATCCCCCTTCCATACTCCCTCACTCTCAAATTCTTGGCCTTTTATTCTTTAATTATTATCTATATATATGTATATATAATATATATTTATATAGCTATAACCTGATGAGTAAAAAAAAGTAATGTTTTTAGTGATGACCACGTGGTTATCCAAAATCCATTATTTTTTTGTTGCTGTGATGTCTAAATTTTGTTGTTAACTTGACTCACTTGAGATGAAGGAACCTCAATTGCAGGACTGACTCCATTAGATTGTCCCATGGGCAAGTCCTGAGGGAGCATTTTCTTGATTGCTAGTCAGTGTAGGAGGGCCTGCTATGGGCAGTGCCATTCTTAGGCAGGTGGGACTGGGATGTAAAAGAAAGGTAGCTGAACACGAGTCTGCATGCAAGCCAGTAAGAAGCATTTCTCCATGATTTCTGCTTCAGTTCTTGCTTGAGTTCCTGCCCAAACTTCCCTTCAGGATGGACTGCTAACCCTGAAGGTAAGCCAAATAAACCCATCTTCTTCCCAAGCTGGTTTCAGTCAGGCCAGTTATCCAGCAACAGAAAGCCAACTACATACAGTACAACTTTAAAAACTAACAATAAAAATGAAAAAAAGTCACACTGTGATTTGATCATTTACATGGGATGATATTAACCCTTTCTCTCTTTTACTTACCAAGAGTCATGGGAAGGCTCTATTCTCTGAATGGTTTGTCTCATCAGCGCATTATTCTTGGGACGTGGGTCTGGCCCTAGCTAGATGATGTGTAAGTCGCTTGGGCACTGCCTGTAACTCTCCACTTTCCTTTCCACACTATATTCCTACTCTATGTGTCCAAGTTTTACCAGCTTATCAATGGTTTATCTCTTAGTTCAGCCTTTAAGTACTTGTTGAATTATGTGCAAAGCAATTTTTTCTCAATCACAAACTTCCCTCTTGATTCCTACTTATCACTTCATTACTTTGAAATGAAAATCTAGGTAACAAGTATTGACAAATTCTGAGATTCAGGGCCAGTGTGTTTTTAAACTCCTCATTAAAGTGTCGCTGCTAGATTCTCAATTATTAAGTGGACTCTCTCTGAATGCAGCTAAGGACCTGCATCCTGCTTATCAGTGAGCTTATAATTGCATTCAGCTGCATTCTCTAACTACCAGGGGAGCGCCTTTGATCCAAAAGTAAATCCTGTTGCATTCTATTATAAAAGTCTGTTGATTAAGAGGAGTTAAGCTTTTAAATTGGTCACCTCTAAATACAAACGTAGATGTGCTTTTCCCCAGTTCATCAGATTAAAAAACTCTGCTGGCTTCCAATTTTCCTTTACCTATGTATTTCTAACTTTTCACTAGCAATTTATAAAGTTTACCAGTAGTAGACAATTTCA